TTTATTTTTATATTTTTGTGATTTTACTTTTTTGGTTTTAGTTTTGGTGCCACACCTGGTAGTGTTCAGGGCTTACTTCTTTCTCTGTGCTCAAGGATCACAACTGGTGGTGCTCAGAGGGACCATGCAGGGCGCCTGGGGTTGTACCCAGGTAGGCTGCATGCAGGACAAGTACCCTGTCTACTGTAATATCTCTCTACCTCCTGGTTTATGGTTTTATTTTTAATTTTTTTAAACGAGGTAATTTTTACTGAATGAAACTTATTTAGAAAAACATGATGGAAGAAGAGAGGAAGTATGTGTTCAGAGAGAACATGGGGTTCTACAGAGAGAGGGCACAAAGCTATTAGAGACAAGTAAGTGAGGTTTTTTTTTTGTTGTTTTGTTTTGTTTTCTTTGGTCACACCTGGCAATGCACAGGAATCCTGGCTCTGCACTCAGGAATTACTCCTGGCAGTGCTCAGGGGACCATATGGGATGCTGGGAATCAAACCCGGGTTGGCCGTGTGCAAGGCAAACCCCTACCCACTGTGCTATTGCTCCAGCCCCGTGATATATTTTTAAGGAAGAACATGGTCTTGAAGAGTGAGCCTGATTTATGATTTTAAGTAATTATGATAATTTATGTATCACTGTATCACTGTCATCTCGTTGTTAATTGATTTCCTTGAGCAGGCACCAGTAACATCTCCATTCGTCCTAGCCCTGAGATTTTAGCAAGTGCCATATTGGAGGCTCTTTCAGCGTCAGGGGAATGAGACCCATCATTGTTACTGGGTTTTGCCATATCAAATACACCACGGGGAACTTGCCAGACTCTGTTGTGTGGGCAGGACACTCTCGGTAGCCTGCTGGGTTCTCTGAGAGCGAGAACTAGACAATAAGAAGTCAGGTGGCCACAAATGCGGCCGCATGATTCTGGGACTTGGTTTTATAGTCTCTGTGTCTTGGCCGTTGATGGGATTATGTGGCGCTCGGGCAGTTGGTGGGTGTAACATCTAGCTGCTAGAAGATGGAGGATCTGGGTGGAGGAGGCCCAGTCCTGATCCGAGCAGCCTTGGAGATCTCAGCCCTGGGTCCCGCACACCTGGGTTTCTCTACTGGTTCCTTCATGCATGAGGCTCATCCAAGCATGTGGAGAGTGGTCTTAAGCATGACTGTGGCTGGTTCCAGAGGTCTTCAGCTGCTGGGGCTCTGCGTGGGGTGGGGAGGGATAATTTATGTAATGGCAGATAAATATGGTGGTTGGTGGGGATTGCTGATAATAAGGGTAAAGCAGAAGTTGGAGAAATCAGAGGCAGCCTGAGGTACACACTTGAATCACAGTAATATTCACAGTTACAAAGTTGTTCATGATTGGGTTTCAATCATACAGTGTTTTAACACCTTACCTTCATCAATGTATGTTTCCCACCACCAGTGGTCCCTGTTTCCCTCTCGCCTACCTCTGTGGAAAGCACTTTTCTTCTTTTTTTTTTTTCTTTTTGGGTCACACCCAGCAGGGATTACTCCTGGCTCTGCGCTCAGGGATTACTCCTGGCTCTGCACTCAGGAATTACTCCTAGTGGTGCTTGGGGGACCATATGGAATGCCTAGGGTCAGCACGTGCAAGGCAAATGCCCTACCCACTGTACTATTGCTCCGGCCCGCACTTTTCTTCTTAAGAGAATTTCTTAACTTTTTTAGGGAGCTCATTAATATGAGAACTTTAAAAAAAATCTGTCTTTAAATTGGAACTTTTTCTTATTTCTTCTGTTTTTTCTTTTTTTGCTATTCTGCGGGTTGAATCCAGGTCTCTGTGTGTAAGGCATGCATTTTATGCCGCTGAACCAAATTCATGCTCTGTTAATTTTACTGTTCTATCACTCACTAAATCATCATAGATAGATTTTGGAAATTTTAAATCTACCCTTGTTTTAAAAAATTTTTAGGGACTTTTCAGAAGTAGTTTTTTGGTCTTGTTTGCTATTCTAAAAACCTCAATATCATATTTAAAATTTCTAAACATTTTACATAATTTATTTCATAGATATAATACCCTTTTGGAACATAGTACACTTAGCAAAATGCCTGCATTTGTTTGCTGTATTCTTTTTTCCTTGGAGTTTTTTGCGTATGTATATATTTCTTTATTCAGTTACTCACACTTTCATACCAGCACCTCATAAATGTGAAGCATGTACTCTTCCTAACTGATATTTTTGGGTTCCTTTTATATCTTTCTAAAAAGACTTAGGGCTTAAGGGGGAACAGTATATGGATACATGCTCATAGCATTCTCTTAAACTAATCCTTGTGTTTTAAATAACTATTTTTATTTATAATGAAACCTTGTAGTTAAGTATGCTTTTCATATGACAGATCTTTCTTTTAGATTATTGGTATTTCATATTTTGTTAATTTTTGTTAAACACTATGGGCAATTGTGGGGATATTGTTTCAATGTACACAGTCTGGAAAATTATTTATTATATTCTCATAATTTCTAATTCATAACAATCACAAGACTGTTTCGATAAATTCAAATTTTAGGTGACAAGTAGGCTTCACTTGGGTATTTCATAGGTGATTTAAAATTGTAAGAAAGAATAAAAACTGGGAGTATATTTGTATATCTTGGTTTTGGGGCCATATCTGGTTCTACTTAGGTCTTATGCATGGCTCTATGCTCAGAGATTACTCCTGGCAGGATCTACAGAGACAATATGAGGTACTGATAATGGAACCCAGGTTGGCCATAAGCATGGAAAGTGTCTAACTCACACTACTCTCTCTCTCTGATCCCTAATGGACTTGGAGAAAGTTTAAAAAAATTTATTAGCTTAGGGCCAGAGATGTTTAGGCACTTGCCTTGCCTATGACTAACCAAGTTCGATCATCAGCACTCCATATGTTCCCCTGAGCAGTACCTGGAATGATCCCTGAGCACAGAGCCAAGAATAAGCCCTGAGTACAGCTGCATAAGGCACCTTGCTGCAAAAAAAAAAAAAAAAGAAATTCCACTAGCCTAATGTTCAGTTCTTGAAAGTATGGCAAAGGAAGCATTATTTGGGGGTGTCAAGAAAGTAAGTTATTAGCAAAGAAAGCAACCAGGAGTAGGAAAAGTCCAAATGATGCAAGATTTTGCAAATAAAAGAAAAATAGAGATGTTAATTGTAAAAAAAAGCTCCAAAACTCCACAATGATGTGGGCTGAGAATTGTATCATACACTGATTAATGTTCATCTTTGATAGCACAGTTTCTTAGTAACATGGAGAAAAATGTTGGTTTTTTTTATGGGGCTAAGAAATGTGTTAGATAATAGAAATCTGAAAAACAAATTTGACAGTCTGAAAGACCAGAATTGTCAGATAAATTTTTTAATCACAATTAATCACAATCACAACCATCCTGTTATTCGTCGATTGCCTCGAGCAGGCCCCAGTAACGTCTCTTCATCCTAGCCCTGAGTTTTTTTTAGGAAGTGCCATATTCAAGGCTCTTTCAGAGTTAGGAGAAAGAGACCCTTCACTGTTACTGGTATTTGGCATATTGGGTACGCCACGGGGAGTTTGCCAGACTCTGCCGTGTGGGCAGGTTACATTCGGTAGCCTGCCAGTTTGTCTAAAGTAGGAATGAGATGATAAGATGTCCTGTGTCTGCTAATGCGGCTGCGCGCTTCCGGGAGTTGGGTTTTATAGTCTCTGAATCTTGGCCGTTGATGGGATTACATGGCGCCAGGGGGCCAGTTGGAGGGTGTGACCCCCGCCTACTGGAATTTGGAGGATCTGGGTGGAGGATGCTCAACCCCAATCCGAGTAGGCTTGGAGATCTCAGCCCCGGAACCCGCGTGGCTTTGTCCCTCTGCCAGTACCTTCATGTGTGCGGAGAGTGGTCTCAGCATGGTGGTGGCTGGTTTTGGAGGTCTTCGGCTGCTGGAGCCCTGGTCGGGGTGGGGAGGAAAACTCAACCAGCTCCCCTCCAAGGAGCCCCGGCAAGGACAGCCAGGCGCAGGGGCAGGAGAAAGAGTATAGGGGTTAAGATTCTTGCCTTGCTTGTGTCAGACCCCAGTTTGACCCCCTGCACTGTATGGTCTTCCGAACATCACCAGGTACATTCCTGGAGCCCTCAAGCACTGCTAGGGTGACTTGGGCAGTCCCTGGGGCTGCAGGGCTCAAGCAGCACTGTGTTTTGGGGCTCTTGTGTTAAACTGCTGGCCTCTTTGGCTGAGATTCACTGGAGGGGTTCCTGGACCTCCTGAGCACTGCTTGGAATAGCTCCATCCCCTCAACAAAAGAGAAAGTAGGAATATTGAAGTTAAGTATGTAATGGCTAGGGTTAATTTGAAAAAGTGAATCCATTTTTTTTAAATAAACAGATTTTATTTGGAGGATTTTTAAAGTGTGGAGGGGGAGAGAGTGAGAGAGAGAGTAATGTATTCAAGAGAGAACACAGGCTTCTCCAAGGGCGGATAGAGCCTCTACACACATACCAGCATTAGACAGGAAAGCATGAAAGTACACATCTCAAGAGGGGAGATGCAGGTGACACATGTGCTCGGGCACCACATGTGCTTGGGCACCACATGTGCTCGGCCATGTGGGCGCAAGCACACAAGGGCTCGGGCAGCATATGTGTGCTGAACCCATTTTTTATAACTGAAGACTAAGGGCATGTTTAGAAAAGTTGAATTGAAGGTAAAGATATATCCTGAATATTCTCATTCTAAAAATACTTTATATAAAAAATACTTTATATACATCCACTGATTGCTTAATGAAGAAGTAGGCTCATTTTATTGAGGAATTAACTTTACAGGACCATTAATATTACTATTAATATTATAAAACAATTTATTATTGTTTTGCATAGTTAAGTATTTGGACTTCCTCTGTTCTTTAAGTTCTCTAGTTGTATGAATCTATCACTTGTTTTTTCTTTCACTGGTATTTACTTTCATTTCTTTTTCACTACTATTCTTTAGTTTTTTAACACATTTATATTATTTTTCTTATTTCAGAAGAGATGGTTAAGCTTAAGAATATCAAAGAAATAGAATTTGAAGAACTGAAAACAGTGTTGGTAAGTGTATAATTTATTATCAGTATGTGCCAAATTTTCTAATTATTAACACATACTAACTTAGACTCTTACACTATAGATGCTTTAAATTAGTTTTTTCAACTACATCATTACAAATTACATTAAATTTTTAGTCACAGTCTTATTTGATGATTGGTGAGGATGTTTGTATTATTTGAACATAGGCTTACAGGACATTCAAGTAAGATAAAATATGCATGTTATGTAGCTGAAATATAAATTTGGTGTTTCTTTGATACCTTAGAGATATAAAACTGAAATTTCGAGAAAGGTGACTATTGCACAAAACATTAGTTATTTATGAAACTTAAGTCAGGTAAAATCATGTTTAATAAACCTTTTAGAATGAAACAAATATTTTTGTTTGTTTTGGGGCCATACCTGGCAGTGCTCAGGGGTTACTCCTGGCTTTGCACTTAAAAGTCACTCCTGGTAGTGCTACTCTGGTTAACTGCATGCAAGGCCTTACCTGCTGTATTATCTCTCCAGCCCTGTATCACTAACCATCAGGGAAATGCAGATCAAAACAAGAATGAGCAATTGCTTCATGCCAAAGAGACTGGCAGTCATCACAAAGGATAACCAGTGTTGGTGTGGAAGCAGGGGAAAAAAATTCCCTGCTGCTGGGAATGTCAACTGCTCTAGTCTTTTGTGAAGACTATATGGACATTACTTAAAACACTAGGAATTTAGCTTCTATATGACCCAGCAATTCTATCCTGGCAGCTGTGGAATTGCTCCAGAACATAATGCAGATAAGACCTCTGCTCTTCCATGTTCACTGCAGCGCTATTCACAGTAGCCAAACCCTGTGCCCAAGAACAGATGACTGGATGAATATACACAGTGAAATACCTTGAGGATGTTAAAGTAGATGAGGTCAGGAAGTTTACTGCTACCTGGATGGATCTGGAGAGTATTCATACTGCATGAAATTAGTCAGAGGGAGAGGGACAGGCACAGAATGATTGTACTCATTTGCAGGATACAAAGAACATAATAGGGGAATATCTAATACCCAAAGACCATAGAAATGCAGGTCTGGAGGACAAGTCCTTAGTAGGAAGATTGCCATGGTGGGTGGAGGAGAGGATAAGACAGGAAAGGGACCACTATGGCAGTGATAGAAGGATGTGGTCACTCTGGGCGAGGACTGAGTTCTGAAAGGAGGTAAAGTGATATGCATGATACCCTATCAAGAAACAGTATTGTCAACTACAGAACCAAAAAAGGAGAATAAAAGTGTCCTCCAGAGAGGCAGGCTGGGGAGTGGGAGGGAAACTAGGGCCATTTTTTTGGGGAAATGGACACTAGTGAAGGGATTGCTGCCCGAACATTGTACCCCTGAAACTCAGTTATGAGTAACTTTGTAAAGGTAAAGGTAAAGGCCCTCCCGTTGATCATCGATTTGCTCGAGCGGGCCCAGTAACGTCTCCATTGGAGACTTTGTTGTTACTGTGTTTGGCATATCGAATACATCACGGGTAGCTTGCCAGGCTCTGCCGTGCGGGCAAGATACTCTCGGTAGCTTGCCAGGCTCTCCGAGAGGGGCGGAGGAATCGAACTCGGGTTGGCCATGTTGGCTGTGTGCAAGGCAAACGCCCTACCGCTGTGCTATTTATAATTCATGGTAATTCAATAAGTTTATTTAAAAATATTTTCAGCTATTATGTGCAAGCCTACTCAAATTGGAGTTGAGCATCCTCCACCCAGATCCTCCAAATTCCAGTAGGCGGGGGTCACACCCACCACCTGGCCCCCTGGCGCCGTGTAATCCCATCAGCGGCCAAGACTCAGAGACTATAAAATCCAGCTCCCGGAACCGCACGGCCGCATTTGCGGCCACGCGACATCTTATCAGGACATCATTTTATGACATCTTATTATCTCAATTCTACTTTGGACAAACTTGCAGACTATCGAATGTAGCCTGCCCGCAGGGCAGAGTCTGGCAAACTCCCCGTGGCGTACCAAATATGCCAAATACCAGTAATAATGATGGGTCTCATTCTCCTAAAGAGCCTTGAATATAATCTCAGGGCTAGGATGAAAGAGACGTTACTGGGGCCTGCTCGAGGCAATTGACGAATAACAGGATGATGAATGAATGAATGAATGAATGTGCAAGAGGAATTGGACTTTGATGTGATTTTGAAAAGCAGAACAATGACCATGGCTAGAAGTTACAGGAAAACATTTTAGTGCAGTAAAAGGATAATTAGGATTGGTAGATGATCCAGTCATTAATAATGTTATTAATGTTCTAAAATAGGCAGAAAACCAAAAGCTTTTAGATGAAAAGCAACAATTTGAGAAGATTGCTGAAGACCTAAAAGAAACAGAACAAGAACTAAATGCTCTTCTCCAAACCAGAGAGGTTTGTTTAACAAAAATATATTTTTCTTTCAAATATATCTTTAGTTGAATAAAAATTTACAAAATACACTGTTCTTATTAGATCTGGGAAAGAATTCTTCACAAAATTTCTTATAAAGTATATGTAGGGCTGGAGTTGTAGCTCAGCGGTAAAGCACTTTTTTTTTATGTGTGAAACTGAGTTCAATCCTCAGCACTGCAAAAAATATGCTGAGCAACTTAAAAAGTATGTAAGTATGTCTTCCTGTTCTTCTTCAATATGCTAACACTTGGTTTAAAATATATGTAGACTATCTCCATATTGTAACATGGGAGAAGAAATTGACATTTAAGATATTAATAGTATGATTAATCTTATTGTTTATAAGTACCATTTTGGGGTGTCTTGCATATTAGCTTTTTATTCTGAGTTCAGAATCCTTTTTGTAGTGCTCATGTTAAATATTTAGATGTCACTATGTTCGGAGTGTGTTTTTGGTCCATAACAGTATAACATATTAATTTTTTGTAATAGAACAACTTTTTAAGACATCCATTATTTAATAAATCTTCAGAATAATATTTTATTTTTATTTTTTAATTTTTTAATTTTTTTTGCTTTTTTGGATCACACTGGCGATGCACAGGAGTCACTCCTGGCTCTGCACTCAGGAATTATCCCTGGTGGTACTCAGGGGACCATATGGGATGCTGGGAATTGAACCTGGGTCGGCTGCCTGCAAGGCAAATGCCCTACCCACTGTGCTATCGCTCTAACCCCTTCATAATAATATTTTAATAGGAATAAACTGTAAAATATTTTCTCATGTACAAATATAATTTTACCACTTGAAACATTGGAATTTAAAGTGGTGGAATTTACTTATATTGTATTTATAATTGCTTATTATTTTAAAATTACATGGCATTGACACTTAACATTTTTGACGTATTTCCACCAAGATTTTGCTAAGTATATGACTAACTGAGTGATGTGGATTTGTAAAATACGAGATATATAAAAGTATTTTTATAACATTTACTTTCTAGAAAAAAGTACATGATTTGGAAATAAAATTAACTGCTCTTGAGACAAGTGAACAGCATTATTCAAAACAAGTTAAAGAACTGAAAACTGAGCTTGAAAAAGAGAAGTATGTGATCTTACTATTTATAAAGGCATATATATTCAATTACTAAGATTTTTTTTAAGTTTATTGAATCACCGTGATATAGTTACAAGCTTTCATGTTTGGGTTACGATCACACAATGATCAAACACCCTTCCCTCCACCAATTTACTAAGATTTTTGATAATGATTTTAATGTGTTAGGTCCAGTACCTATTTCAATAGACTTAAAATCGAACTTTATTTTTAATTAAGTAGCAACATATGTCAATTTATTTACTTAAGAAAACACATATATTGGCATAAAGAGTTAAGTATTAAGTTGAGAAGATGAGTGGGTTCCTGTTTTTCCTCATAAAAGTAATAATTTGCAGTTATAACTAGTTATTTTGATTGTTTTACTAAAATATTTCATAGGCTCATATTGATGAAGTATCAGAATACAAATTTTTGATGTTGTTCAAATAAAAATATACACTTAATTGAAAAAATGACTTAGCAAGTTTTTAAAAAGATAAGAAATATTGTTATTATTCAGAGAAAACTGCCATAGCCAATGAGAACTTTTCCTCCACTTTGGTGCTTTTTTAGCTCTAGATAAAAATTAGAAGTAATTTTCTTAGCATCTGTCCTTTCCCTTTTAGCTTCTGATTTTTGTGGTATCTTGTCAATAGTACTTCTTTAGAGACTTCGGATAAAATTAATCGGTTGGCCAAAATTTCTTTCAATGAATGGACTGATTATGTATACTATTATTTTTTAGTAAATCAAAATAGTTTTTAAAATTTTTTTATCGAAGCACAGTGAGATACAGTTACAAAGTTTTCATGATTGGATTTCAGTCATACAGTGATCAAACACTCATCCCTCCAATAGTGTTCATTTTCCACCACCAGTGTTCCAGTATCCCTCTTGCCAGTCCCACCCCATCCCACCCCCTGCCTCTGTGGCAGGCACTTTCCTTCTTACTCTTTCTCTACTTCTGGGCGTTATGGTTTGCAATACAGATACTGAGAAGCCATCACGTTTGTTCCTTTGTCTACTTTTAGCACACATCTCCCATCCCGAGTGATCCCTAAAACAATCATTGAATTAGTGATCTCTTCTCGATCCCAACTGCCTTTTCTCTCAGCACATAAGTCAGACTTCCAAACCACAGAGCGATCTCCCTGGCCCTTTCCTCTATTGTTCTTAGGTGTTAATCTCATATTGTTATTTTATATTCTATAAATGAGTGCAGTCATTCTATGTCTGTCCCTCTCTTTCTGACTAATTTCACTTAGCATGGTACTCTCTTCTTCATCTTTTCTAACAGCTGCATAATATTTCATTGTGTAGATGTACCAAAGTTTCTTTAACCAGTTGTCTGTTCTCAGGTACCCGGGTTGTTTCCAGATTCTGGCCATTATGAACATACAGGTGCAAAAGTCATTCCTAATGTGTTTTTTTGCATTCCCGGGATATATTCCCAGAAGTGATATTACTGGGAGCTCAATTTCTAGTTTTTGGAGGAATGTATGTATTGTTTTCCCCAAAGGCTGGACCAATCAGCATTCCCACCAACAGTGAAAGAGAGTCCCTTTCTCCCCACATCCGCGCTAGCACTCATGGTTATTGTTCTTTTTGATGTGTGCCAGTTTCTGTGGTGAAAGATGATATCTCATTTTGTTTTGATTTGCATCTCCCTGATGATTAGCTAGGTAGAGCATTTTTTCATGTGCCTTTTGTCCATTGTATTTTCTGAGGAAGTTTTTCATTTATTCTCCTCATTTTTTGATGGGGTTGGAGGTTTTTTTCTTGCAAAGATCTACAGTGTCTTGTATATCCTGGATATTAAGTCCCTATCTGATGGATGTTGGGTAGATAATTTTTACCATTCCATGGGTTCTCTGTATTTTGGTCACTGTATTTTTTGAGATGCAGAAGCTTCTTAATTTAGTGTAGTTCCATTTTTTTATATTTGTTTCCACTTGCTTGGTCAGTGGTATTTTCATCTTTAAAGATACCTTTACTCAATATCATGGAGTGTTCTGCCTGCATTTTTTCTCTATGTACCTTATGGATTCATGTTTGACATTGAGGTCTTTAATTCATTTTGACCTGACTTTTGTTCTTGGCGTTAGACAAAACTCTCTGAGTTCGTGTGTTGCATGTAGCTGTCCAGTTTTCCCAGTATCACTTGTTGAAGAGGCTTTAATTACTTCACTTCACATTTCTTCCTGCTTTATGAAAGATTAAATGATCTTGCAGCACTGTTCACAATAGCCAAAATCTGGAAACAACCCAAGTGCCCTAGAACAGATGAGTGGTTAAAGAAACTTTGGTACGTCTACACAATGGAATACTATGCAGCTGTCAGGAGAGATGAAGTCATGAACTTTGTTTATAAATGGATAGACATGGAGAGTATCATGCTAAGTGAAATGAGTCATAGAGGGACAGACATAGAAGAACTGTACTCATTTGTGGAGTATAAAACAACATAACATGAGGATGACACCTAAGGACAGTAGATACATGGGACAGATAGATTGCTCCATAGCTGAAAGCCTGCCTCATGAGCAAAGGGGAGAAGGCAGCTGGAATAGAGAAGGGATCACTAAGAAAAAGATGGATGGAGGAATCGGTCGGGATGGGAGATGTGTGCAGAAAGTAGATAAAGGACCAAACATGATAACCTCTCAAGGTCTGTACTGCAAACCATAATGCCCCAAAGTAGAGAGAGATTATGGGGAATCATGTATGCCATGGAGGCAGGAGGGTGGGAAAAGGGGGTATACCAGGAATATTGGTGGTGGGGAATGTGCACTGGTGGAGGGATGGGTGTTTGATCATTGTGTGATTGTAACCCAAATATGAAAGCTTATAACTATCTCATGGTGATTCAATAAAATTTAAAAAAAGATTAAATGATCATGTACTTGAGAGTCTGAGTCAGATACTTAACTCTGCTCCATTGGCCTGTGGGTCTGTTTCTATTCTAATACCGCTTTATTTTAATTACTACTGCTTTGTAATACAGTTTGAAGTTGGGAAGGTGATGTCACCACCTTCTTTTGCCCAAGGATTGCTTTAGCTATTCATGGACGTTTATTTCTCCATATAAATTTTAGGAGTGTTTTGTCTTCTTTGAAAAATGTCATGGGTATCCTTATAGGGACTTCATTGAATCATATAATGCTTTTGGGAGTATTGCCATTTTGCAGTGTTAGTCCTCCCGATCCATGAGCAGGGAATGTGTCTCCATTTCCTACTGTCTTCTTTTACTTATTGAAGTAGTGTTTTGTAGTTTTATTTGTACAGGTCCATCACCTTTTTAGTTAAGCTGATTTTCTGAGGCACTGTTGTGAATGGGATTGTTTGTTTTTTTACTCTTTGTTCTCTTTAATTGTTTTTATACAGAAAAGCCATAGACTTTTGGGTATTGGTTTTGTAATCTGCCACTTTACTATACAAATTTGTTGTTTCTAGGAGCTTTTTTGTAGAGTCCTTAGGGTTTTCTAAGTATAGTATCATGTCATCTGCAAATAGTGATAGCTTGACCTCTTTCTTTCCTATCTGAATGCCCTTGAAATCTTTTTATTGCCTAACTGCTGTGGCAAGTACTTCCAGTACTATATTGAATAGAAGTAGTAAGAGTGGGCAGTCTTGTCTTGTTCCAATATGAGAGGGAAGGCTCTTACCTTTTTCTCCATTGAGAATAATGCTTACTGTAGACTTGTGGTAGACAGCTTTGAGGAAAGTTCCTTTGACTCCCATTTTGTTGAGAGTTTTTATCCTAAATGGTTGCTGGATTTTGTCAAATGCCTGCTCTGCATCGATTGATATGATCATATGGTTTTTATCTTTCCTTTTATTTCCACCTCCAGTGGTGCTGGGCAGACAGGTAAATAGTGATAAGAACTGAATTCAGGGTTTCATGCCTACAAGGTTTTCCCTCCAGACCTACAAGCTATCTCCCTGAACCTTCAATCTTGTTTTTCTGAAGGAAGATAGTTCTGTTGGGGAAGGATACTGTTTCTAAGGAAAGTGTGGGCTTCTTTTGAGAGAAGGAGAGAGAATAAAGGCTAAAAATAAAGGAGAGGAATAAAGACAGTCAGAGTTGGGTTACAAGAGATTCCAGAATGGAATATATCAACTATCATCATTTAATAAAAAACCTCATCTACTCTAATGAATTTCCAGTGCCAGTAAGTAGGAAATATTTGTAGGTGCATCTGAAACCAGTCCGTTGAGCCATACACTCTGGTTCCTTCATTTAAAATTGATTCTGGCTAAGAACAACATTTTTTTGGGTCACACCCAGTGATGCACAGGGGTTACTCCTGGCTCATGCAGTCAGGAATTACTTCTGGCGATGCTCGGCAGATCATATGGGATGCTGGGAATCGAACCAGGGTCAGCTGCATGCAAGGCAAATGCCCTACCCGCTGAGCTCTCACTCTAGCCCCAACAATAATTTCTTATAAAGAAGTACATTTGAGACTTTGTAAGTGCAAGTCTTGTATGTGTTATGTATAAATGTTAATCCTAGTTTTATTAATGAAATACTTCAATTAAAGTAGTTTATGTCATACTCTTTTAATGAAATCATCATACTCTTAAAGAAATTTCTAGTAATCTTAGAGAAAAAATTATGTGAATAAAATAATTGGTGTAAAAGTGTAAGGGAGTGGTGTATGAGGAATACACAGAAAATATCACACCTTACAAATCTTATTACAGAAAAATTTAAAACATGACAAAATAGTGATCAGTCTATTGACCACTTTAAACCTATCACCTGACTTCAGAAATTATTAATGGCCAGTCTTACTGTCTTTATACTCCAGTCCTTTAACCCTTTTCTCTAAGATTTTTGAATTAAAATCTACATCATATAATGGCATAATTATTTTGGAATTTTTTTAAATTCATAGGCTTAAGAATACTGAATTAACTGCAATCTGGAACAAACTTTCAGTGGAGAACAAAGAACTAGCACAAAAAACAAATGAAATGACTACAGAACTCAAGAAACAGCAAAAGGATATTAATGTAAGTTGTAAAAGCAAGTACCAGTGACATCTTTGGTGCGTCTTGGTCCCTGCATTGCTGAGTATCAGGCCACCTTGGAGGGTTCTCAGGGGCATCCAAGAGTTGTACCAGGTATGCTCAGGCTCTTATATGGCTCAGGGAATAGTTGTGTTCTCTCTTTCTTACCTATAAAATTAGAGAATTTGGGGCCAGAATGATAGTACCGTAGGAGGTACATTGCATGGTATAGTCCCTGGCATCTCATGGTTCCCTAAGTCACACCAGGAATAATTTCTGAGCTCAGAAACAGAAGTAAGCCCTGAGTACCACTAGGTCTGGCTCAAATCCCACTTCACTACCCCACCCCCAAACAAACAAACAAACAAGTTACAAGTTCAGGCAGTAATAAATAATGTATAGAAAAGCATCCCTTGAACAAAATTAATAAGTCTCAAAAGTATCACTGGGGAACAGCAAGCAAGACTTGTTTTTAATAACTGCTATATAGAGATTGTTGGAATACTAATTTAAGTAAATCTGGAAAATAAGTATTTGACTATGCATCTTTAACCCATTCTCTTGCTTTGTGTTAGCGTAGGAGTGGTGTATTTCTAATGATTAATGAGTCCCAGTTTCTTCAATATTTTCAGCAATCTAAATACCTTCATTTCTCAAAATATTGAGTAATAAAGATATTTGGAAATAGAAAAGTTTATTGAAAAGCAGAAGAGAAAGAAAATCACTTAACTTGAAGAATTGAACATAATACTAAGTTGAGTTAAGCTCCTTGTGTAGGGTTGGTCTTTAAAGGGGTGGAATTTAGTGTAGTTTACTAAATTAGGCTTAATTTACTTAATAAATATTTAGGAAGGTGGCACACCCAGCAATGTTCAGGGTTTACTCCTGGCTCTACACTTAGGATTCACTGCAAGTAGTGCTCAGGGAGCCACATGGGATGCTGAGGAGTCCATGCTGGCTGTACTATCTCTTTTATCCCTGGTCGTAAATTAGGCTTGATTTAAATGGCTGTTTTTAAAGGAAAATTGACTCTTTGTATTTCTTATTGTTATGCAAAGTTTCAGAGGATTCTCTTTTGTTTCAGATACAGCGGTGGTGTTAATTTAGGGTTTTCTTGATCACTTTATCACTTGATCACTTTACATCCTGTTACTCATCGATTTGCTCGAAAGGGCACCAGTAACATCTCCATTTTTCCCTGTCACCTGCTAGTGTAGCCCAATGGTGTCTGCTCGTTAGGGTTTTCTATGATACTAAGTAAGATTAGCCTTTTGTATTCCCCCTTAGGCTGGTAGGGGAATAGACCATTTAGGTTATTTATTTGACTATTTGCTAGATCTGGACCATTTTCACTTTGCTTCCTGTGAGCCAAGGTCTGGGGTTATGGTTTTGCTAAACTGGATTCCCTGTGTTAAGGAGAGCCCCAGGAAATTACGGTAATGTCAGATTGTTGGATGGTGACAACTAAAATAGAGTTGCTCTCTGTAGCTGTAAAGGGGAAACTGAGGCTTTCAGTATATAACTGAATGAATTTTATGCCAACAACTAAAGATAAAGGATTTTAAATATTTAATTGAAAAATTACTTTATTTCTTTAGGATAGCAAAAAACAGGAAGAAAGAATGTTGAAACAAATAGAAAATCTGGAAGAAACAGAAATACAGTTAAGGTAAGACTGCTGAGTTGGCCTGCTGAGGTGTGATGTCACACACAGTTACTGTGTGATTTGGTTGCAACATTTGGGATTCTGGGATGATAGTTGATGATGTGGGGTGGTACCAGATACTGAATTTCTAATTTCAAAAATATAAGGCAGGAACTTTGTATTTGTGAGATTATATGAAGAAGTCACTGAACCACAGCCCCAGCCAGAATTAGCTATTTTTGTCTAGCAAAGAATTCTAGTGTATCCATTTTACTATTTTGTCATAACTTAGACCAAATTTATGCTAGCAAGTGTAAGGTGAAAAATGAAAAAAACTACTGCTAAAAATGTAAAATTTAGAGACTAGGAAAATAGCTCAAAGGACTGGAGTCCATGCTTTGTGTTCAGGAATTCTTGAATTCAATTTTGCTATCTTATGCCTTCTTACTCCTAACCCAGCACTGCCTAGTGTGATCTTGGAACCCCAGCACTACTACCTGCCCAAACAACCTCACAGTACTGAGTACTGAGACTGGCTCCTGCAGACCAAGCTGCCATGAGGGATTTTCAAATTTATTTTTAAAAAGTAATTTGAAGAGACTTAGGAGATAACTCAGAGAGCTGGAGCACATGCAGATGGAAGCCCCAAATTTGATCCCTTGCACCACATCGTCGCCCCAGAATGACTGGAAGAAGCTGCTTCCTTAGCACTTCTGGGTGTGGTTCTCCGAAACAAGCAAACCAAACAAAAACACAGAGAAATAAATAAAATGGACCTGAATTAAGTGACTTGAAATCTGTTTTAGATTACATACTTTCCTTGTAGGAGTGTTTGAGAACTGTATGAAGTAGTAGAACAGAAGTACCGAGTACAATGCTTGACATATAGCTGTTAGTTATTTCCATATCTAGAAGTCATCTTTTATTATAATTCTGTTTGCTTTTTTATGTTTTTCCTCACTCCCTTCTTTCCTTCCTTCCTCCTTCCTCACTCCTTCTTTCTTCCTTCCTTTCCTTTCTCCCTCCTTCCCTTCCTTCCTCCCTTCCTTCCTTCTCTCCCTTCCCCCAGTTTGGGAGTATTTTTGGGAGAGGCTACTTTTGGTTTAAAAAAATTCAAATTATTTGCTCTCTTTTTGTACATCTAAGTACTGTATTGAATTATAAAACCCTAAAAAATAAATTTAGGAAAATAAATACCACATCAATTAAAATATTAATACTCAGTTGAAGAGTAATACCCTAAATTCAGTTTTGAGGTTAGTTTTCATGTGATTGAAATTCTTTTCTATGAATATAGTTACACCCAGTGGTAATATGGGGCTACTGCAAATACAAGTAGTTAAGTTATCCATTGCAGACAAAGTTACACCCAGTGGTAATATGGGGCTACTGCAAATACAAGTAGTTAAGTTATCCATTGCAGACAAAGCAGTTCTTTTCATGTGCAACAGACATATTTGTAATATAAACATTTTGAAAAATATATGTGCAGGGTACAAAATTTGAAGGACAAGTCAGCTTTTTTGGCAGGAATATAATTTTTTTTCCTTCTTCCTGCTACCCTTTTCCTCTACTGTTTTACATTTACTTTGCTCAGTCATCACTGTTTCTTGCTTCCAGAAATGCTCTGTAAATATATATGCAAATATCTCATTCCTATGCTTCTTCATTGCAGTAAGTTGTATGAACTATCCCTAGTTTATTTGTATAAAATATTTTAGACTGAAGACCATTCTATGACTAACAAGATGACAGTAAAGTGGATTCTTTTATACAAAATTTGTATTTAGTTACCACAGATTACAAAGTCATTCATGATTGGATGTTTCAATGCCTATCCTTTCACCACTTTCCTCCAACAATACCCTTGTTGGCCTCCCACCCACCAGCCTGTCTCTGTGACAGACACTTAAAGAAAAATAACTTTTGACACTATGTCTTACAGTACTGTTACTGACAAGCTTCCATGCATAATAGTGAAGTGAATTCTTGACTTAAATATTAACTATCTTTGTAGAAAAAATTAATGAAAAATATGACACTGAAACCTAGAAGTTTCAAAGTAAAGTAATTCCTTTAGATGTAGGCATAGATGTACGCTTTTTAGTCCATTAACATTTTTAGAAAGGGAATTAAAAATAAAATACGCTTTTTGTTGTTGTTACCCTTTTATTTCCCTTAAGGAATGAACTGGAATCTGTGAGAGAAGAATTAAAACAGAAAGGAGATGAAGTCAAATGTAAATTGGAGAAGAGTGAAGAAAATGTATGTTAAATTTAATATTATTGTATCAAAAAATTTCAAATCATAAAAATGTCTAAAAATTTAAAGTATAATAACATAATTTATTATGTATACAGTGGAAGAAAATGATGCTAAAATAGAACAATATAGATTATGATGACCTTGGCTATTTTTTCTTTCATTCAACAAATATCATTATTAACAATGTTCCATGACTATTCTGGATGCTGAATTTAGATATCATTTATTTTGTTAGGCAGTGGTGATTCAATTAATTTTTTATTAGGAAACTTCGTATTTTAAAAGAATAAAATGGGGACAGTGTATGACACTGGAATCAGCTGGGAGCTATAATGATTGCTGTTGAGTACTTTGAAAAAAATTTGAGGAGAATTCTGGTCTAGTTTATGCATCTTAATTATTTTTAAGCCAATCCTTATGGTTAGGGAATTGACTGATCTGATCAGGCCTGAGCTGTTGTTCACTCCTGAAAACAGAGTTAGACTCTTTAAGATGACATGGACTGAGCAATATTCCTATGGAAATTAAGGAGTTTTTGTAAGACTGGATGAAAATATAGGCTCTCTCACTACATATGGTTTTGGAGCCCATCTAAGAGTTATCTAACTAACTTGAGTGAGGACAAGCCTTCATAGAAAAATTGACTCTTAATTAAAAAATGTAGGTTAATAAAAATTAGTGAAAGGGATCACTTAATCACTTAATCCCTGTTATTCATCGATTTACTCGAGCGGGTGCCAGTAACGTCTCCATTCATCCCGGTTGCGTGCTAGCGTAGCCCAATGGTATCTGTTCGTTCTAGGAACATGCAGAGCCTCAAACCGATCATTCAGGGTCTTGACGAAGAAGTCTGACCATCTTGTAGGTGGGCGTCCACGTGATCTTTTGATGTCCCGTGGCTCTAGTCCAGCGGTTGTTTGTAAACCTCATTATGTGTCCAGCCCATCTGATTTTTGATGTCTTGGCAAATGAGACAGCGTCCCTGATTCTTGAGCGTTGACGAAGATCAGAACTCTGGATTCTATCTCTCATTTGAGTGAATCGTGATATTCCAAGCATAGCTCTTTCGATTCCTCTTTGAGAGACCCGAATAGCGTTCTCATCCTGTTTTCGTAGGGTCCAGGTCCAGTGAAAGGGATAGGGATGAATAAATATATTAGGGAGAATAGTTCTTCAAGTTATAAACACACACATTTTTTTTACAGTTGTAGATTTACAATTTTTTGTGCTTGGGTTTCGATTATACAATGATCAGATACCCATCCCTCCACCAGTGCCCATTTTCCACCACCATGGATAATATCCTTCCCACCCCCATCCCTCCCATCCCACCCTGCCTCTGTGGCAGGGCAATCCCTTGTGTTCTCTGTCTCCTTTTGGGTGTTGTGGTCTGCAAAAGAGGCTTTGAGTGGCAAACATGTTCAGTCCATAGTCTACTTTCAACATGCATCTCCTCTTCTGGGAGGATCCTCCAAACATCCTTTATTTGGTGCTCCCTTCTCTATCTGAGCTTCCCTTTCCCCTAGAATGCTTGGCTGGCCTCTAAGCTATGGAGTAATCCTCCTGGTGCTGATCTCAGCTATTCTTGGGTATTAATCTCATATTTTGTTACTTTATATTCCCCAGATGAATGCAATCTTTCTATGTCTATCCCTCTCTTTCTGACTCATTTCGCTTAGCATGATACTTTCCATGTTGTACCGCTTGTATATAAATTTCATGACTTCATCTTTTCTAACAGCTACATAGTACTCCATTGTGTAGATGTTCCAAATTTTCTTTAACCAGTCATCTGTTCTTGGGCACTCAGGTTTTTTCCAGATTCTGGCTATTGTAATGAGTGCTGCAATGAACAAACAAGTGCAGATGTCACTTCGGCTATACATCTTTGCCTCTCCGGGATATATTCCCAGGAGTGGTATTGCTGGGTCAAATGGGAGCTCAATTTCTAATTTTTTGAGCATCGTCCATACTGTTTTCCAGAAGGGCTGAACCAGTCGACATTCCCACCAACAGTGAAGGAATGTTCCTTTCTCGCCACATCTGCGCCAGCATCGGTTGCTTTTGTTCTTTTGGATGTGGACCTGTCTCTGAGGTGTGAGATGGTATCTCATTGTGGTTTTGATCTGCATCTCCCTGATGATTAATGATGTAGAGGATTTTCTCATGTGCTTTTTTGTCATTTGGATTTCTTCTTTGAGAAAGTTTCTGTTCATTTCATTGCCCCATTTTTGGATGGGGGTTGGATGTTTTCTTCTTGTGGAGTTCAACCAGTATTTTGTATATCCTTGATATCAACCCCTTGTTAGATGTGTATTCGGCGAATATCCTTTCCCATTCTGTAGACTGTCTTTGTATTTTGGTCACTGTTTCTTTTGAGGTGCAGAAACTTCTTAGTTTAAGATAGTCTCATTTATCTATCTCTGTTTTCACTTGCTCGGCCAGTGGCGTGGCATCTTTGAAGATACCATTAGCTTCAATGTCATGGAGGGTTTTGCCAACTTTTTCTTCAATGTACCTTATGGTTTCTGGTCTGATGTTGAGGTCTTTAATCCATTTTGATCTTACTTTTGTACATGGTGTTAGGCAGAGTTCTGAGCCCACTTTTTTGCATGTAGCCGTCCAGTTCTGCCAACAAAATTTGTGAAAGAGGCTTTCCTTACTCCACTTCACATTGCTTGCACCTTTATCAAAGATTAGATGATCATATGATTGAGGGGAGATGTCAGAAACAAACACATTTTAAAAGAAGTATGAGAGAGCTTGGTAGGATGAGAAAAAAATATCTCACATATTTAAGAAACTATGAAAGTTCTTGAGCAGTGTCATAATTATATTTACATGTTAGAAACTTATAGGGTTGTTTGAAAAGTCCGAGGATGAAATGAAGTAACAGTTTTGGATGTCCACGGGGGAGAGGGTTGTATGTCCACCCAGCTGTTCATGGCTCTATGTTCACAGGCTTGAGGATTGTGTGCTGTGCTGGGAATTTGAACACCAGAGAGAATGGGAGAATGCAATGAAAGAAACCACCTTAACCTCTGTACAATATCTCTGGCCCTAATATTTTACCTTGAGCTAACATTTTAAGGGCTTCTAATGACCAGGACCAGTTTAGATTCTTTGTGTATGTTATTTTATCTATTTAACTGGAAGTCATTTTTGCCATGAAGAAACTAGGCTTCATGTAGTTTCTACGCTTTTTACTTCATAAAGGCAAAAAAAATGTTTAAAGATGACATGATTAAGAAGTAGTAGAGTTGACATCTTTTATTATGTAGAGTAGTATTCTTGTTTTTTTAATTTTTATTAGTGAAACAACATGAAGTACAGTTGTAGATTTACAATATTTTGTGCTTGCGTTTCAGTTGTACAATGATCGAGTACCTATCCCTCCACCAGTGCCCATTCTCCACCACCACTAGTTCCAGTATCCCTCCCACTCCCCATCCCTCATCCCACCCTGCCTCTGTGGAAGGGCACTCCCTTTTGTTCTCTCTCTCATTTTGGGTGCTGTGGTTTGCAAAAGAGACATTGAGTGGCAGTCATATTCGGTCTATAGTTTACTTTCAGCATGCATCCCATCCTGGGCGGAGAGTAGCATTCTTAAACCTTTCTACACCTGCAGACCAGCATTGGTCTGTGGACTAGTGGTTGAAGATCAGTGCAGAGACTATTACATTTTTTTCTCACAAAGGCTTTTTGTTGTTGTTGTTTCATGTTTTTAAATTAAATTCAACAAGGAAGAAAAGGAAGTCAATCTTGTAAAAGTTTAGAATATAATTAACTACTTTAAATTTGTTTCAGAAGCTGCCTCAGAATATCTTATTTGTGATGGGAAAAATGTGTATTTAATCTTTAATGTAAAAGCAAAACCTTGCAATGAGAAATGTAGAAAATATTAATGATTTATTAAGGAAAAACAAAATACAAAACAAATTGTTAGTTTATTTAAGCTTTTCGTTGCTAGATTTAATTTTACCTACAGTAATAATTGACTTGGAGCCAGAGGGATTTCTCAAAGGGCTTAACACTTGCTTTACATGCAGGAGGCATGGGTTCAGTTCTGTCCACCATGTGGTCGTCAACCTGCTGAGCAAAGCGATTCTAGATTGAAATCATTTTTCAAGTATTTTCCCTGACATTGAGTTTTTTTTTTAAGCATTACTTATACAAACTATTTGAGCATCAATTTCCTCATCTCTAAAATAAAGATAATACCTTTCCTTTCTCTATCATAGGGTTGTTACGAGTTTCAGATAAACAGATGTTTTTGAAGTACATTTTAAAGACTATTCATTTTATATACAAGAAAACTCAAGATAACCTGGGAAATATTGCTAAGTGATACTGAGTTAAGAATGATTAATATTAACATAAACTGTAATAAAAAAGCAATTTCATTTTTTTCATGTTTTAATTTTCATTTATTTATTTTTACTTTGCCAAATAGTTCCTTTTATTTATTAATTTAAAAAATTTTATTAGTGAAACACCATGAGGTACAGTTGTAGACTTACAAATTTTTGTCCTTGGGTTTCAATTATACAAAGATCGAGTACCCATTCCTCCATCAGTGCCCATTTTCCACCACCACTGATCCCAGTATTCCTCCCACCCCCCACCCCCATCCCTCCCTGCCTCTGTGGCAGGGCATTCCCTTTTGTTCTCTCTCTCTCCTTTTGGATGCTGTGGTTTGCAAAAGAGGCATTGAGTGACAATCATGTTCAGTCTATAGTCTACTTTCAGCATGCATCTCCCATCCTGGGAGGATCCTCCCAACACCCTTTATTTGGTGCTCCTTTCTCTGTCTGAGCTGCTTTCCCCCCCTAGCATGTGCAGCTGGCCTCCAAGCCATGGAGTGAACCTCCTGGTGCTTATCTTGGCTATTCTTGGGTGTTAGTCTCCTATTTTGTTACTTTATGTTCCTCAAATGAATGCAGTCTTTCTATGTCTGTACCTCTCTTTCTGACTCATTTCACTTAGCATGATACTTTCCA